AGCTAAGGCCCTCGTCTGTTTATTCACTAAGGCAGAAAGCAGGGGAAGGGGTCATGTTGTTGTTCTGAGGCTTCTGAGGAAAATGGTGCTCCAGTTTTTCAGTCAATAAATAATAATCTTTCTCTGACAATTCAATGGCAGCATTACTGAAGAACATGTGGCTTCCAAGAAGACTAAACATAGATTCGTAATCTTTCCTGCTCCTGTATATTGCCTTGAACTTCTTTGCAGAGAAAAAAGGGCTGCTTAATTTAGCAAGCCGTTCTCCTCGAAGTCTGAATGCAAAACATTCCGGTCAATGCTGCTCTTAGGTTGCTCTTGCATTCTTGGTATCTCTAATGCTGAAAGCGCTTTACAACCTTCATTCAAATGGAACTCTGAAGATAATATGCAAATAGTCAGGCCTATGTTGGGGGGATTCTCCCTAAGTTGCAGTCTTTGTTTGTTATACTAGTTAATAGGGTCTGGATGTCTGTTAGCCATGAAAATAGTCAGATTAGTCAGATCTACACATAGTGCTTGACAGTGTGAGAAGTATCTTTGATCTGACCTTCGTACAGCCTGGCCTGAACACGTGTTCCTAATTTGTCTGTGGAAGGTGAGGAGAACATTGGTGCTGGTAATGAAAAGGATTAGGCTTGGACAGACTGAGAATGGTGTATTTAGTCTGCCTCGTCATGGATATTTGCAGCAGAACAGAGATAATGGAGGTCTGCTGATAACATGGACTCTGTGCTCCTGAAAAGTGACGTGGAAAATGTTCTGATGCCGTTTTTGTGTGCGTGTGTGTGTTTGGCCTTTCCTCCTTGACAAGGAAGTTGAATGGCTGTGTTTTGGGTTCAGCTGTGACTGAAGCAGTTACAATAAGACAAAACTTTTGAGAAGTAGGTTGGGGGAGGAGGGCGAACTGCATTCATTTTTACTTTGGATCTTGTTTGATACTACTGTTTAAATGAAGTTCCTACACTGAAGCTTATTTCTCTGTGGTTTGCAGAAAGGAAGGAAGTTACTTGCACAAAAATATAAAGCTGATGGACAACTTGGTAACTTAAATATATTTAGCACAGACACCGTTTCTTCATCTCATTTAACAATTTGTCGGTTAAGCGTTTCCTTCAAGCTTACTTCATTTTATCAGCACTGTTTTCTCATCGGACACCTAGGTGTTAACAAACTATTTTTCATTGTTTTTATTTGTAGCAGACAAAGGTATTCACAGCTCTTAGTGTGTAGTTTCAAATGTTGAAAAGTGCATAGTTGGCATGTGTTGCAGTCCATGGTTGTAGTGGGAAATCCTCAAAAGACAGAGAACAACTGGAGTTTTTGTAGCTGAAGTACAGGACCAGAGGGCAGGAGGATCTGTGTTCTGTTCTTGTCTAAAACAGTCAATGTCCTGCGATTTTTTGAGTTTAGGAATTTTTGGCACCACAAGTAAAAGGAGAACAACGTTCCACCATTTTTTATCAGATAACACTGAATCCATTAATGCTCTATAACAAGATGATCTCTCACAGTGATCAGTATTGTGGATAAACCCATGAACAGAGTTTGGTGTGTCAGCGTCTGAGGAGAAAGGCTGGGAGGCTGGTGAGAGACTCTTTAAAATTCCAGGCTCTTCAGTAAATTACAAATACGACATATTTCGCAATCAAGGTATATAAATCTCATGAATGCTATTGGAAGTTAAATCGGCTGAGAAAAGGCTATGCTGAAATAATTTATTTATTTTCATGGTTATCAGTCTCTGAAGTGTTATCAGCAGACTTACAGATTTGCACAGGTATCTCCCACTATGAGAGAACTCTATTTAATCTTTAGCTGCAGCTGTAGAGATCTGTTTCTTATTATATAGATTATAAAATACTTAATGCATGCTTATGGTAATTAAAACTTAGTGAAAATGAGGGATATCTGAGATTATGTCAGTATGATTGTTCCAAAAAAGGGTACATTATATCAACAAAATTTTAGATTAACTGTATCCACCCATGAGAACACCTTTTTGTTCTAGATGGCTGGTTTCTGGGTTAAAAAAAAACAACAAACCAACCCACAAACCAGAGGTAAAACCTCTGCAATAGGCTCTAAGAATTGCCTGTACTTGTTTCCCAATGCCTTGTCACCGTTTTGTGCCAAAAGCTGCTGTATATTATCATGTCACTATCTGTCCTGTCAGTCAGGTCCGTTACCATCTGTTTCACAGCAGAAAACTGCAGTGGAGTGGGGCGTTTTCTGTTAAGAGCATTGGGTGCTGCCATCAGTGTATTGCCTGGATCCTTTGTAAGGAGAGTGAGTAGGAGGATTGTTTTATTGATGTGAGTTTATCAGAAAGAGCTAAGTAGCCTGAAAAAAAGAAGAGAAACTGAAAGTGAAATACCCAGAGAGGCAGAGAAACTGGAGGCGGAAACAGGAGGTCACTTAGAAAAACAAAGAATGAAAAGAATTTTTGGCCAAGCTTGTAGAGATGTTACTTTGAACTTCATAATTTCCATTTGTTTCTTGGATGTGTTGGTGCTGCAGAATAGGGTAGAGGTAATTGCTTTGAGTATGCTTGAACCTGCAGTGGTATCCAAAGCAACCTAGCTGAGCATCGTGCAGCTCCTTTCATGCTGCCGCTTCGGGGTGTTTTGTCTGCCTTTCTTAGCTTCCACTACCTATAAATCTGTAGTAATGCACAGGCTTAGGTACTAGGTATAAGCACTCAGTAAGTTTTTCTGGATGGAAATACTTCTCCAGTTCTTTCTCAGGGAACTCTTTTCTAGACAAATGACAGAGCAAGAGAGGAATGGGATTCTGACGCAGAAGAGTGGAGAGCAAGGTGCGCAAGTCCCAGCAGTTCAGTAACAAGGGTCACACTGAGCTATCTGCTTGCTTGTGAAGGACTGGAACATGAAGTGTTACAGAGGTGGAGCACAGACAGACACTGGCATTTTGTAGTGTGATGGGGAGGAGGAAATAAGTGGATTTTTTAAAAAAAGGAAAGAAAAGAGGCAAAGATCTCCTGTTAAGTGCAGTAATTCAGTCTGCATGAGCTATTTATTGCACAGCTCCCTTACTTGAAAACATAGGACTAGAAGAGCAGAAATATGGAGAGGGATGTGATGAAGCTGGAAGCAGCACAGTAGTGAGGCACACCCCACGACAGTAGTGGGGGGGGGGAGCAGG